GTGGATGAATTTTTTTTACATTTTTCAAAGTAATTAGTCATTTAATATAATAGATAAAAATAAATTATCCTTTCTTAATTTATCAAAATGAACAAGTAGTTAAGAATAACTATAAATAAAAAAATAGACAAGTAATTAACGAGGAAGAAAATATTTCAGCGTTGTGTTTAGGCGCTGAATCGTTTTCAAAAGAAGTGTCGGTGGTAGAAAAATGAAGGTCGAAAAAGAAAATAAAAAAAAAAGGGAGCGCCACTCTGTCAAGTCATCTGTCCTTATCCCGATTGGCCCTAATTAATCCAACTTGGTAAATTTACAACAAATAACACTGCTACACTTGCTGCTAATTCTACTTAATTACCAAAAGCAGTGATATATCCCGCCGGACTTTTAGTTTTTATTGCTAGTAATTTAATCATTTATATATAAAACTCAGCATCCTAATACACATTTTCACTGTGAAGTTGCTGCTCCATGTTACACTGTACTTTCAACTTCTTCCATATTTGATTCCTTGTGAACAGAGCTGTTGTGGATCCGTGAGAAATGGCAGTGGATCCGAGACAAATTGTTGCTGGTGTTCTTACTGTTACTATGTTTGTTATGCTCGGCAACATGATCACGAGGGATCACTTTTATCCAGTAATTCCTCTCATATTCATGTTCTATCTATTTGATTTTGATGTTGTGTTCTGTGGATTTGTACATCTACATGAGCGGCTATTCTAACTGCATAATTACAGTTGCTGTTGCTCTTCATTTTGGCCGATTGATGCTTTGTTTTTGGCTTTGTTGAGTTGTTTGTTCTGCTGCTGCTTTAGATGTTACTCTGGTCTCTGATCCTATTATTATGTTTCTGGATTTCATTATATTGTTCGAACTGAATCGAACTATGCAGTATTTAACTCGTTTTGAAAAGATTCTAGTATTTTCAATCAACAAATATTCTCACCGGCAGTTGCAGCAAACTGTCACTACGGTTACCTAGTAGACTTCATAGTTTACTGAAAGATCCCGTGATTTCTGGCTTAGCCTTAGCTAAAAATGATTAATCTAATTAATTTCTGCATTTAGAGATTCTATAAGATTATGCCAAAAACAGATTAGAAAACAGTGTCTAGTGTCAATATTTGACTATGTGATATTCTTTGTTTAATTGTTTGGACATTTCTGATTTCCTTTGACCGTTTTCCTGCTGATGTAGGTGGATTCTGATATATCTATCCATAGTACCAGTAAGCAGAGCCTGGTAACTGGCCCTTGGATGAAGGGTGGTGAATCCGTAAAGCCTTGTTGGACTAAACCAGTTCCCCGTGAGTGATTTAATAATCTCGATTTTTTAAGGTTTATCTTTTATTATCTTATTTTCTTTTAAGAAATTTGTACATCTCTTATTCTATGATTTTCTCAACAGAAGAAGCTGACCAATCACAAGGATTTGTTACATTTTCACTTACTAATGGTCCTGAATATCATGTCTCTCAGGTAGCTTACTAGTGTTAGATCTTGAGTTTATCAAATAGCAGTAGGTGAATAATTACCTGCAATGTACTTGACAAACTAATTGCAAACTTTAGGTTCTATCTTTTAGTCAAGCATTTGTTTGCTGCAAATGGTATTTACAAGTTTGCTTTTGATGTTATTTGTTTTGTACATAATTTACTAATGTTTAGGATGATCCATCGAGACGTTCAACAGCAGAACTCAGCACCATTTTATCTCCTACTCATGTTGAGAACTGTAAAAGGAGCACAATACTGTCCCATTTCATGTTTTCGGAAAAACCTTATAAAACTACGTTATATGAGGCATAATTATCTATGAAGTGGAGAAATTACATTGTACATTCATTTTCTTGCTTTTTTGATTATGTTTACACTTGATAATTTGTTTCTTTTCACTCAACGGGTATTAATAATCGTCTAAGATTACTTGTCCACCTGACATTTTTAGTTGGTCTGTTTGCTTCTGATCTGAAATGATTGTGTGTATGGTGCTCTAGATTCCAGGCCATTCAAATATTTCAAGTGCTCATATGAATTGCATCTATTTCTTTTGTGTAGGGGTGCTATGCAGCATAGTTACTTTGATGGGTCTTTCTTTAATCCATATTTGATGTTCATTCTTCTTGGTTGAGATACTGTGACTACAGTTTCTGTCTCCATTCACATTTCTGTATGCCAGCATACAGCGGGTAGGGGGTGGATGGGATAGAAACTGAACTTTAAACCACTACTTGATATTTCTGTATTCCTTGTATCATGGTTATTTCTCATTAGCTTGGAGGAGTATCTGGCACTTTCTTAAATTACATCATCACTTCGCCTTACTGTTTATGCTCCCAGCAAAGTGCAGATTCTTGTAAATGTTATAGGATTAGTTAGACTTATACAGAGTTGTGTCTATGTTTGTCTTCTCTTCTATTGTCTTATTCTGTGTGGAACTGGCATGTTAGATTGCTGATGCAGTTATAGTGGCGAGGTATCTGCGTGCAACTCTTGTGATCCCAGACATCAGAGGGAGCAAACCTGGGGATAAGAGGTCAGTGTTCTCTATGTGTTTTCCCTATCTCTTGTTATTCTTGCAGAGTTTTAATGTTGTTTTAAATGAGAACTACTTAAGGAATTTGATCTGTATTTGACATTTATAAAGGTTACTTGAATTGTTCTTTCTCTATACACCGTCGGAACATCATATTTCTTGTGCTTGATATGCCCAGATGGAAACTCAGCTCACTTATGAGTCAAGATACTGCATTCATTTCTTTGGGAAAGATCTCCTTTATTATTTTCTTACATCTTCCTTATTTTCTTTTTCACTCCATTCCCAGTTTGGAAGAGCCTTGAACCGAGGGTCTATCTGAAACAACCTCTCTGTCTCTGAGGTAGGGGTAAGGTTAGCTTACACTCTACCCTCCCAAGACAGGACATTAGGTATGTTGCTGTTCCCAGCTTGGAAGAGCTTGTAAATAACCAATTAAAAGAGATTTTGCTCATGGCACATAGGTCTACCAATTTAATTTTTTTCTAGTCTCCTACTGCTCCTTTTCTCTTTCTTGGCCCTTATGATTATAAGTTGTACTTTATTGCTATTTTTTCTTATTCATGTGTCTGTTGCCTTTGTTTTAGAAAAGCTCGCGGCTTTAATTGTGTTTAAAGCCCTAGCAGACACTAGACACTTATCTACATTCTTTTATCTCCGATAACTCTAATTTGGAGATAGAGTCCTGAGCAGACATTGGATATGATTTTCATGAGCTATTCCTAGTTGAAGTTTCTGTCTGTAGAACTATAACCTTTGGAAGCTGGAAATTAGAGTTGTTAAAGCTGGAATTTTAGTGGCTTGCTTAATATTTGATGGCTCTTTCAAAATTTAATGGCTTTTCAGTACTGCTGATAATCTGTGAATTTTATCGATTTTTAGTTTTCATATCATCTTGGTCCACACTTATAGTCACCCAAAGTTTGAAGGTTCATGAAGGCCATTTGTGATTTTCAGGAAATTTGAAGACATCTACAATGTTGAACGCTTTGTGAGAAGCCTAGATGGTGTGGTTAAAGTAGAAACAACTCAGCCTGCTGAAGTCTCATCAAGAAATCTTGCTGTTGTGAAGGTTCCAAATAGGGTTTCTGAGGACTACATTGCTGAAAACATTGAACCAGTTTTCACATCTAAGGGAAACATAAGGCTGGCAACATACTTTCCTTCAGTAAACATGAAAAAAACGAAAGAGAAGAGTAATACCGACTCAATTGCATGTATGTCGATGTTTGGAACTCTAGAGCTTCAACCAGAAGTTAATGAAGTAGTTGAGTCCATGGTGGAGCGCTTAAGAACTTTGAGCTCAAAGTCAAAAGGACAGTTTGTTGCAGTGGATCTGAGGGTTGATATATTGGAGAAGAAGAGTTGCCAAGGTGACAGTTCTCTTAAATCAAAGAGCTGCTATGGTCCAGAGGAGATTGGTATGTTCTTGAGAAAAATTGGTTTTAACAAGGATACAACTCTATATCTGACTCAATCAAGGTGGGATAGCAGCCTTGATGCATTGAAGGATCTCTTTCCTAAAACATATACAAAGGTCTGGTTTCTTTACTTATTGTATTTACTGTTTCACAATATTTTGCTCTACTATCAGATTGCATGTTTAGAAAGTAAAAGAATCTATATGCTTCTATGTATCTCCATGTGTGCTTTTACTATTTGTGTTGCTTACTCCTCTGAAAACACAACTGCAGGAAAGCATAATGCCCATTGACAAGAAGGCAAAATTTCTCGACTCAGAGTCTTCTGAACTGGAGAAAGTAATCGACTTCTACATGTGTTCTGAGAGTGATGTTTTTGTACCAGCAATCTCAGGCCTCTTTTATGCCAATGTGGCTGGTAAGAGAATTGCTTCCGGAAAGACACAGATTCTTGTTCCAGCTGATATTCCTGGCTCTTCTGCTGCTTCGACTGATTACATATCCCATTATGTCTCAAAGAAGAACCACTTCGCCTATTCATGTTTCTGCTAGCTCCCTGTGAAGAAAGGCTGAAAAATGCAGATGGTTGAGATTGCGGATTTCTTCTACGTTATTCCTTGCACTTATGTTTGTAAGAAACACAGGTTTGTTTGGTTCATAGAATTAAGCCTACCATTTATTAGAGGTCTTGATGGAAAAGGTCAGGGCCACAAATAGTCGAATGTTGAATTTAGCATTTGTAGAGCAGATTTTATTTACATGTCAGTAAAGCTATTTCAAACAAAAACACTCGGCGTGTTGAATTTTTTTTGTTATGATTGTTGTCAACTCCATTCCAATCAATGGAGATTGGAGCGTCCCGTTATAAATAGTGAAATTAAATAGCCTATGGCCTTCTATTTACGATCTGTCATCATGTACTATTTACAGTTCTTATAACGAAAGAATATCAGATCAGTTTTTTTAAAGTTTGTCATGTCATGTTCTTCACTTTTAGGACTAATACTAATTCTAAATATCAAGCTTTGCCTTAAGCACAAGTTTATGGAAAATAAAAAAAAATTCGTCCCTGTAGAATTATCACTTGTCTGATGTCTCTAATGTTCATATATTACATAATAACAATTGATAGTATAGAGAGTAATAACCAGGAACCGTTCTTTACACTGCTAATAATGGATATCTAATCTCTCCAAGGCACCTTTCATATGTCACTGAGTTTCTTTGCACTAGCACAACCGTAGCTGGAAATGATTAAAAGCTTCTATTCTTTCTCACAAGAAAAATATAAGCAGAGGATCATTATCCCCTACACTGAAATGTCGGTGTAGAGAAAGCTTCCTTGGTAGCATCCAAGCTTTAATGATATTCCCAGAATTCATCAATCATGTATGCCATTTTGTTATAATTTGAACAAGTTCGCATAGCTCAATATATTTATTAAGCTATATACTCATGGGGTTGGCACAATTGGATTATGGGCTTCAATGTCCACATGCCTAATGCCTGGAACTATTTCCTGGATTTCTTTTTCTAGCCTATCAACTTCACTCCCTAGTGCTGTGACAACTTCCTCACCTGCCAAGAAAGAAGAGAGAGTTCATAGCATTTAACTGGTGCAATTAACAATCATACGTTTAAAGTTAGGCATACCGTAGATTGACATCATTTTCAGTAAAGCTGCATCATCCTTCTGCTCTGAAGCCTCTCGAAACTAAATATGAAAAGAGAAAATAACTGACTATTACATATCATATCGCCAAGGGTGAAGACGAAAGTGATATAATATTTATGGTCTTCATATTTCAAGCTGAAGATATGATAATTCAAGAAATATGTCATCAATGTTATGCAAAATCAAATAGAGATGAAGTAACTGAACTTAAAGAATGTATAAGCAAGAAATGAACAATGTGCCAAGCAGATATTACATCAAAACAACAAAAAAGCAAAAGTAGGGTCAAGAAAATTGCAGAAAGTCCAACATCAATGGAGCATAATATCTTCGTTCTATCCAGGTATCCACGTCAAGGACAGATACTATCTTAAAGTAAAATCCCCGGCAAGGTTAATTGCTAAACCTTTAGTTGTTAGCATATGGTTGGAACTCTATTTGTCAAACATGTGTGTGTTAAATATCTTGGCGGAACTCTATGCTCCACAGATATAATCAAATAGTTCAGATTTTCTTGGATAGAAGCAAACAATTTAAACCAAAAAAAGTTTGTTGTGGGTGGAAAATTCTTCTGTAATATCAGTCCCATGCTGGGTCAGAGGTTAGCAGAGTTGCAGCAGATACCACAAATCCAGAATGAAGTAGCTAGTTGAGCCAAAATCATGTAGTTAAGAAAAAATGAGCTCTTTTATCTGGTAATGACATGACTAAATAAAAGGATACAACTTGCTCTCTAGGAGAATAGGCTTTAAAGAACCTTGCAGATGATGATCATCTGTAAGAAGGAAGATGAACAGCTGAGTACAGGAGGCCGTTACTTGAACTATGAAGCACAAACACACAGACATGATGCAGAAACATACAAATAAGCACTGTTCATCCATCTTCTTTTACCAAATTAATTTTGATCTTTTTATATTAAGATGTCCCAAAATATGCAACATATATCTTTAGATAATAATATCCAACAATTCTGCAATGTTTCAAGACTTAAAGCCATCTAATATTTAAAGTTTTGATCATGATTTTGTTTTTCACTACACCAGTTTCTCCAAATCTTCAAATCGTTCTACAACTACCAATAAACTAACATACAACTAATCTAAGAGTTAAAATTGTAATTATAAATTTCTTTTTTCAGTACACAACTTCTCCAAAACTTCAAATTGTTCTGTAACTACGAATAAACTATGCAAGTCAAATCAACCATGCCAACTTAAAGAGTTTCACACAAACCAGGACAGACTAATTTGTGTTACAAACAAGTGAACATGTTTGTATTTCATATTATTAATATGACAAATCACTATATTTAATAATGCACATCAGATCCACCAGGTTATACCCTCTCACTTGTTTTCCAATTTGGCTTTATCCTATTGATCATTGTATTCTAGGAATTTATGTTGAGTTTTTGTAACATCTTCCTAAAGAAGTCATCTTGAAAAACACCAACGTAGGGCCAAAGACTTGTCACCAGATTGGCATGGTAAAGAAGTATCAAATGTATTCTATTTTAGGAAAGATGAAGGACTATCAATCCATTGATGTTGTCAGCTACTGAAATGTAAAAACAATATGCAATTTTCCCTCCTTCACCCCAATGAGAGGTGGTGTGGTGGAAGAATTAAGAAGTTGCATGCAGAACTAATAACCTGTTTAGCCCACTCTTCACGTCCAGCTCTCTCTAGATAATTTTGAACCAGCACTACGCCATTGAAGTCTGCAATATAAAGCAACATATTAGAAGGTGTACCTTAAAGAAACTGAAGAATAGAAATGAAGAACCAGATCCCATCACCTATCTCAGCCTTAAACCTAAAGAACCCAGGCCCAATCACCTCACTTTTGCAATCATAAATGGAATCAACAACCTGTATCAAGTAAAATTTGGATGGTTTAGTTAGGCAAAGAGGTCAGCAGAGTAGAGTGATCCAGAATTTACATACTGGATCATTTTTCAGGAACTGAAGAACCCTGTCCATGTCATTGTCATCAATTGCTCTACCAATCAAAGCATGTCGATTTCTCTGAATCAGAAATATAGCAACCTGCATTTCAAATTGCATTGTCACATAATAATCCTCCCTTTTTACAGAACTTAAGTTTGAGATGACAGGCAAAGAACGTAAAGGCATCAGACAGACAACAAAGTTAAGTCATCCATGTCATCAGTCGATGTATCACTAACACTGGAAAGCGGTTTGTGAGACGAGTCTTCAAATTTCACTTGTCTAGGTCAACATCTTTCTTATATGCTAATTCGCAGTCACTCAAGTTACTTCGACCCCAGTATTAACTTCAGAATCACGATACAAGAGCTAAGAACAACAACCACTTGATCCCTATCTAAACTAGAATTGGCTGTATGAATTATCAATATCTATCCCGCTGCATTTTGATCCATTTTCTAATACTCAATATTTTATTTATTCATGAACTCGAATTTTTAAGAAATCATAATTTCATTCATGTGGGGCATCATTTTTGAATCATGCTAACACATATTGAAAATACATACAGATTACAATGCCTGAATTTCAAGACAAGTTCAAGGTTTAGCATCAAATACCATTCCTAGAAGATTGCCCACTATAATCGAACCAATGGGATCATAAATTGGATTTCCAGTGGCATTTACAGCAACCAATGATGCGGCAGCAATGGCTAGACCTGTAACAGCAGCACCATCCTACAAATTGAACATCATATTACACATCACTGACAAAGACATCATGAGTAGGAGCACAAGAAAGCATGTTGGTCACCTCTGTCATGACAGCTACAGCTGTAGGATCATGACCACGCCAAATGTAATCTCTCACTGTCATTCCTTCAGCAGCAGCTCCTTTTCTGACAGATTGAATAGCCACAACGAGAGAAATACCTACAAGAAATCCAGGGTCCGGAAAGAATATGTAGAGAGTGAGATAAGGGTTAGAAAACATAAAAGGAACAAACATTCTAACTACTTGTATTTATTAAAGAAGATTTCATACCCTCTATAATGAATGAGCCACCAATCACCAGTGCTGCATATCCAATATTTGTAGGTTGCTGAAACAAATATATAGGAAGAATATAGTTCTAGTTGATGTGAATGCACAGTATTTAACAACAGATGATGGATCACTGTATTTCAATTTAAGTACCTCAGTAGTCCACAAGTTTTGTACTCCGTGAACTATAGTAGCACCACAGCCAAGACAAAAGATACCAACAGCAGATATCAAAGACCAGACAAATCTTTCCTTGGAGTAGCCGTATCTGAAATGATAAAATAAGTTCAACAAGTTCATCAGCCTCTAAGCCTCAGAAACACATGTCACCAGATAAAAAATCTTTTCCACTATATCGGTGTGAGACCAAAGCGATCATAATGTGTTCAATTTATTGTTGTTAAAACTTTGGCCAGACGCATATACTTGAAAAACAAATATCTTGTCGATGCAGCTGCACATTCACGAAATCAGTGGTAAATATTTTCATTTGCAATGACAGAAAATACTGCTATATCTACAGGTGTGCTCTACTCAAATACTATAGAATTTTTTTTAAAAAAAAAGGGGGAAGGGGGAGGGGGAGCATGTCTGCAATGTCAAGGTATTGGGACTTACGGGTGGATAGCATCTGGTGCACGTCTGGAGCTACTTAAACCATAAGCAAGAAGCGCCTACAAAGCAAGCATAAGATTTGTTTGATTGACGAAATATAAAAGATGGAACTTGGCTCATACCAGGCCAAATTAGTTTTAAACATGTGCAATACCTGATTTGCGAAATCCGCAACTGAATGCACAACTTCAGCCAGCATGACATGGCTGGAACTGACAAACCAGACCCCAAACTTCAGGGAAAAAACAAGAAAATTGCACCATAAAGCTGTTGTGACTGCTCGCTGGCTACGAAAATTTAAAAAAAAAGGAAAAATTACATGGTGACACAATATACATAATTCATAGTTTTAGCTAAGAAATATCTTCCCTTTTTAGTCAATATAGGTTGCCACGATTGTACAGGATAAGGCTTTGATGTAAACATTTTAATCTACAGAAACTATTAATCACTTTGATAGTGAAGCCATTTCCACCACTCTATGTGAAACACTGCTATGTCTGACCAAATGGAGTCCAAATTAATCAAACATGTCGAAATATATTTAATGTTATTGAGTGCTACTTGATTGAATATGGATTATCACCTTCCCAAGCAACACCTTTGAATGATGATTAAATTACTTGCAATAAGATAACTGAGTTCCAGTGGAATATAGTAGATAGTACCATAGTGGCTGTGTCCAAATCCCAAAGCAGTGTTTTTGACGGCGAGAGGCGACAAAAGGCGACAAGGGCCTGCCTCGTCACGCGGCGAGGTGAGCGGAATCGAGGCGCCAATTAATACCCAAAATTAAAAACATTTAATTGCACATATAATATTCAAAATTTCAATAGCAATTACATATATTACAAATACTATAATAATTACTATAGAAGAAAAAAAATTCAAAAAAATAATGGACAGCAGTCACAACACAGTGAAAGCAGAAAGCATTTTACAGTAATTCGGGACAAAACAGAGAGTGAAGAAAACAGAGGGAAAAAAAGAGTAGTGAAGGCAGGGAGCAGTGAAGAGTGAAAGAGAAAGAGACGAATGGAGCAGCAACTCGATGGAAAGAGAAGAAGAAGAGAGCGGTGACTGAGGAAGAGAAGAACTGATCAGCGACTGAGGAAGAAAAGAAGCAGCAGCGGCTCGAGGAAGAGAAGAAGAGGAATACACGAAAGTCTGATGAAAGTTTGAAAATAGAAAAAAAACCTAATATTATTAAGTTAAAACTTTTTTTTAAAAAAAATCAAAATGGTGACGCCATTTTACGTTGCCATTGGGTCACCTCGGGTCGCCTTGGCTCGCCTATTTGAGGTCGCCTCGCCTCAGTGGATAATGGCGACACAGCCTCGCCTCGCCATTCGCCAAAGGCGCTATGGCGAGTGCCTTTCACAACACTGTCCCAAAGTAAGTCTTCTTTAGGAATATCAACTTCACAAACCTTCTCTTATGCATGTCAAAATATACAATTTAACCTAAATTTACTGTTAACATAATGCGACACTGATAACTCATTTCTTGTAACTTTAATCAATATTTCTTCTAAAGCTGTGATGTTTGGACTAACTTGTGCTGATATTAACTAATGTGTTTGTCAACTTGTTACAGTTCACAAGCACTGGTGTCTGGTTATCATGCTCACCAGGGTTGGGACTTGGGTGCATGAGCTTACAGTCCAATGTTCTTTTTATTTGTTGCTTACACTCCCCTTGTCCTACGTGAAGGATTATGGAACGGTGATAAGGGATTTTTTATGCTAAACAATAAGAAAAGGTTAAATTTGCAGATTTCTAAGAAACAGCAAGGTTATTTATTCAATTATTGTCTAGAAAGGAAACAAAAGGAGCATCATATATGAAGAGAACAACACACGTTACCCAGGATCATCCACCACTTCTATTGTCTTTAACTTCTTTGGTCTGGTAATCAACCCTGAAAGAGCAATTTTCTAAAATACTACACATAATGAACTCTAATTGGTAAAGCAATCCGTAATTCGTATTAACTCATGAAATGACACTCACCGCGGCTGAGGAACAGGTGACTACTATTTCTGGAAATTGAAGACGATACCACATTTAGCGAAGAATTAACCGAGAATATACTGCGCAATGCGAATGAAGGCCCCTGACCTCCACTGAAATTTGAATATGGATTGCATTGAAATCTATGATAAGCATCGAAATGAGGTTTAGTTTCTTCTTTGATTTCGGATGAGCAAGTGTGAAAAGCGCCAAAGTCAAATTTATCGAGAGCTGCAGAGAGGGAATAAGATCCTTGATAACGATGACGATAGCAGCGAAGAGCAGAGAGAACACCACGGGTAGGCATCAATGCGTGATAAACAAAGGATTATATACTCCAGCAAAAACTAGTTTCGGCACTTCACCAAGGCAAACAAAGGATTATATGCTCCAGCAAAAGTAGTTTCAGCACTTCACTAAGGCTTTAGGGTTTTGAGGTTCTATAGTGAAAGTGAGCTCCAAAACTCATTGCCGAAAAATGGAGCATCAATGGTGGAATCGGAAATCCCCTCAAGAGATTCTCCATGGGTAAAGAAGAAGCATAGTCCCTAAAAGCGTGTCCCCTTCCCAAATTTAGTGATGTTTGGGCTGTTGGGCCTGAACCATCAATGGACCATCGCAATAGCCTTTGGGTCATTCACATAAATGTCATTTGATTTTGACAATGAAATAAAAGATAATTATTTTTTGTTATAAATTTATATTTTCGTATTATAATAAAATATAAATTATACCTTAACAACGCATAATAAGTTATAACATCAGAGCAAAAGTTTAGTTCAACATTATGTCATAAAAAGGCATAATTGGTTTCCACAAAATGGATATATGTAAAGTTTCAATTTTATAACTTACATGCTATGTCGTAAAAGACATAATTTACTTCTGTGTTGAATGAGACAAAAAAATTCTTTATGCTTGTGTCTAGAGAAATTATGTCATAAAATTACTACACAATTTATGCTACATAAATTACTGTCTAAAATGATACTCCTCCATTTGTCTCAACTTTATGTATCAAATTTTTGGTCTATTTTTTATCTACTTTTTTACTTAAAAAATCAATTTAATTTTAAACTTCTCATACAATCTTAATGAGACAGATTTATAAATATATAAATATTTGTAACTTATTTTAAATCATAAATTTTCAAAAATATCTCAAATATTTTAAACCAATCAAATAGATACAAGGTATGATATACAAACATTCCCAACACATTCTTTTTCGAAGAAATAACAAGGTATGATATACAAATAGTATAGTCAAGCCCCAAAAATGTGGAGCTACCCACAGCCAAATGCCCTATATTAGAATACATTTGGCTCAAGCCCCAAAAATGTAGAGCTACCCACAGCCAAATGCCCTATATTTGAATACATTTGGCTGTTTTAAGGGAATGTAAGAACTAAAACTAAAAATAGAGATGCTATCTAATCATATAAGTGGTCATAGGAAATCATTTCCGCTCAACTCTAACATCAGTCCAATAAATCCGGCGAATCTGGCTAACAAGTGTCAGGCAACACAGCACTTGATTCCCATAATTCTGAATCAACAACTAAACCACCTATGAGGACCTACTTATTACCAAATCGGCCTTCTCTCCTGGTCAGCGGCCGCTTATATGATTTTTGCTGTCCAGCTGATTTTCCAGCTCCAGAAGTCATTGCTCGATCATTCCGGCTCACAATTTTTATGGGGTGAGCCTCCGTGTTAAAAACCCACTCACCTAGGGGAATGACTGAAGGAGGTGAGTAAAGAAGATAGAGATATTTAAGAGTCTCCGCGAGAAAAAAGCTCTGCATCATGTTGTCTTGCACACCAGAGTTAACCTGGGAAAAAACAGCAAAACCAGGTACCCAAAATATCATTGAATATCAAATCCTGAATATAGGAAAAAAACAATTTGGGAAATAAACACAAGTATAACTCCCCACAACAAGTTGAGCCAAATAGGAGAAGAAGCAATAAAAGATCAGAGGAGATAGGGTGCCTTTACTCAGCTTGCTCAATGTTTCTCTCATATTATTGGCATACAAATGTGATGAAAACTTTCAAGATGTCAAATTGGAGAAACCTATTCTTTGATCTCAAGATTAAACAAAAGAATTTGAACATCAGTTAAAAATGTTACTAAAATAAAATTCAAGGTCTGGTTGTGGTATTTCAAGGTGATAAATTCCATTTGGAAATTGAGCAGAGAGGTAATAGGACCTCTAAAAAGGTGGGGTGCATAACTGATACGACCATAGGTCAGGGGTCTTTATGCCTGAATACTTCATTTGGATCAGCCTATTCTTTAGCATGGTACCAGATTGAACCCTTCGAAAGGAAAAATTGTGGGGCTTGCTGCAATATACTTTAGGATGTATATCAAAGTCAAAATCGAAGGCGAGGCGTTGCTCAGTTTGAATCCATATCTTAGAACAATAAGCAAAGTATATCATGTGGCAGGTTTGTATATTTTTTTGGATATGTATTTCGGTTCTTACCTTTCAAAGAAATGACCTTTTTAAATTTGAAGATAGTTTCACTTAAACTTATCATTTTACCCTTGATGAGAAGTTTATATATTATGGCATATTTCAAAAGCTTTCCTTTCTTTCCTGACTCCGTAAATTATTTTTTTTGCTATAACGAAGGAGCTTGTTGTTGGATAGAGAAATGGATAAACTTCTGGGAAGGTTAAGCATACATGTAACATACTACCTCTATATATTTCACTACATTTAGGAGAATCAGTAAAACTAATTTAATTATTAAAAAAAGATCATTTTACAAATGTTTCTTGCACCGTCTTCTGTTGATATAATGAAGTCCAATTTGTGCCCTATTCCTAATATTTAAAATAATGTCATAATTCTTGGTATCAAGTACAACTCAGATCCTAACCATGTTATGCAGTCTTATTGTTCTTTGGTGAAAACTGAAATGTCGAGGCAGTGGTTGCTTGTGACAGCTTTCATGAAGGTATCAGGTAAGTGATACTGGCTTGGCTAAGTGGCCAAGAAACTGATCCACAATTTTGTCATGACTCGTGCAGCATTAGAAGCTTGCGATCTCAGAGAGTCCCGGGGATTATAAAAGGATTTGGGGGTGGGTGGGGGTGGAATAGGAATTCTCCTGAATAAAGGTTCCATGTGCTCAAGCATTTTGATATGTCTGCTTGAGAAAGCAGATCCAGATACAACCTTACGTCTCAACAAATGAACATTGCTCATGTTATTAAAATAAAGTACAATTTCACCAGTAAAAGGTCAAGATTATGCAAAGCAAAGAACCATGGAGCTAGGTAAAGGGTAAGAAAGCATCAGCCTGAGGTGAAAAGGAGGAAACAGAAGTCTAAGCAGGATAGATGAATTATATTTCAAAATCACTGAACCCGTTCAGATCTGAAAAGCACTGGAACACAAATGCTAGACAATGGAAAAGGCATCAGAGGGAAAATCACCAATAGGAGCCCCATGTCATTCTAATCCAAATATGGGAAAACACAAACATCCATGTATGTGAGTATATCCCAACTATGGTACTTAAAACAAAAAGAATGTGGGTATCAGAAGACACATCTTCCTAACAATGACACTAAAACACAATGTCTTCACTAAGAATTGTAAACGTTCAAAAATGGAGAACAAAGAAAAAGACAATGCTGAAGACATTGAAAAAAAGATAATAAGGAAGGCAAATATCCCACTTATAGAGGTCAACAGAGATCATTTGAAGAGACAAATCAATCTGGAAAAAAAATCATCAGCTAGAGTTAAAGAGTCTAAGTTAGTACTTACATCTTTAAGTCCAACGTATCCAGATTCTATTCTCGAGTTCTTTTCAAATGCCTGAAATATGTTCCAACCCCACTCTTGGTATGTCTTGTTTCCAGTCAAACGCCAGAGGTAAAACAGAGATTCAACCGTTTCTGGCCTTAGTATGTTCCACGACGTACCCACAGTCATATCCTGAAAAGCATTGAAGAGGAAAAACAACCACAAGTTCTTTATCAACATATGTAAACAGCAATGACAATTATGCACTAATAAACTAAGTGGCAAAATCGACCTGGCCTTTATTAAAGACATAGTTTTCTCCTGCCAACTTTGTAGGTGTTGACTGGTAGAAATTATAGCAAGTCCAAGCAAGCTGCAAGAAGAGGTCAATAGATCCAGTAAAACAGCATTACTCAAGCATTTTGTTACTAACGAGCAATAGTGGAAGTAGTCACTATATGATATATTACGCCCACAACGTATCCTCTGTGCCTTCGTTCCCAGGTACCCTTTATCTATGACAGAAATCTATAAGGTTGAATTATTAAGTATGGACATACGGGAGCTAAATGAAAATGCTGTTTTTAATGACACCAGGTAAACATTCAAAATGTGCCTCTCCCCAACTTGGGATTCATAAAGTCAGCTGGAAAGAATCTGAATACAGAATATGGCATAGGTTAATTTATGCTTCACATTTTAGTCCACCAAATGAATAAAAGCAAACCAAACTTGGCAGAATAATCTCCAATGTAATCTAAACAAACTCACACTCAAAGTTGAAGCAAAACTTTAATGAGATACAGATGGTCGGATAAGAACTTATGTCAGACCATAGTTCTTCTTTTTGTTTTTTGGACAATGAACTTAAATCAGACCATAGTTTGGAGCTCTACAAGTTCAAAATACAATACCTCTTCCGCCAGTGATAAAAACTTCTGAGAATCATCAGGACCATAACCAGACGAACCTAAAGCTAACATTCCTGGAGCAAAGCATGCAAGTTCATCCATCTGTACAGAATTCAAAAGTATTAATATGATCTTAGAATCACACACATGACCAGAACTCACTGCTTCCCATTTGACGCTATACATTACCTTGTCTACGAAAGAATCTCCAACCTTCTCACCAATATAAGCAAAAGATGATGGAAAAGTCCTCCGCACCAGGCTTGAAAGACCTTTCATTGAAGTCTCCCACATTTTTCTGTTTTGGAAAATTAAATAGAAGAATTGAATTTGATATGACCGAGATTGCAAAAAATTGTAAAAGAACATCCTTCACAGTTAAAATTTCATGAAAAATATATGCATTGTTAGGACCGTAAATAAGCAGGCGTAAATGCGGAAGCTAGCAAAGCAAACTTCGAAAAACCACGAGTAAGAAGACAACGAGAAATATACCAAAAGACACAAAGATTTAACGTGGTTCGGTCAATCGACCTACGTCCACAAAGGAGATGAGCAATCCACTATAAACATGAGAGTACAGAATACAGAGGGAAACAACCTCAACCAATTCACTCGGAATACATGAGAGGTTCACAAATTCTCCCTCTAACCAAAACTCTCAAAGCCCTTAAAACTACATTGTGAATGCTAATTAAGTTAGAAGGAACATGCCTCTATTTATAGAGTCCTAAACCTTTTCCTACCCAAAAAAGAATATTCAATTCAAAACCTTTTCCTAAAAGGAAAACCTATTTATGGTAAGAAATTAGGGCAAATAAAACCCAACATGCATTGACATACTTTGACTTGGTCCACATTTCTGATCCTTTTCGTCCTAAAGTAATTAAAACACAAACTTTCAAGCAATAACCAATTTCATCTTCCTCCATTTCAGACCAGTAAAGCATATGTAGTGGCAGAGCCACCTTATGATAATGACACCCCTTCGCCGGAAAATTACATTGTTTAGCTAGGTTAAAAATTTATATATATGCTATATGTTGACTCTTCTTCTTTTTTCAAGAGTTATATTTTTATATTTTTACATTTTTACACCCCTTCTTAAAATAGCTAGTTCCTCCACTGAGCATATCATGCTAACTTTGCATTTCTCAAAGGAAACACAATTACCCAATACGACGCACTGAAGCCATAAAACCCCAGTTCTTTGGTCTTTAAAATAGCTTATGCAAAACAGCTTACAACTGCTAATCAAGATAACAGTCATAAGGAAATCCTCAACTAAATTTAATAGTTTTGATTAATCTAGTTTGACCAGCAAGAAAGTTAAGTAAGTAAAACTGTTTGAAATTTAGGATTCTTATATCTGAAATTTTAGAGATATGTTAGAGTAATACTTGGAAGATACAAGAGTACAAAAATGCAACACCAAAAGAGTACTCTATTGTTAATCAAGATAGTAAGTTTTGTACTTTTAGGAAAAAGGGATGGTATTACTTACATAAGCATGCCTTCATTAATGCTCACTCAGGTTTGAGATTGTGTATATATCAGAATGATATTAAAAATAGCAGTAAATTTTTTTGATGAAAAATAGCGAACAGATACTTGGCATTAAATTTAACCACTCTTACTCTGATATACATAGATCAAATGGTATGATAATAAATAGCTCTAAAAGTTCAGGCTGTTTTAATGTATTCAGATTACATTGCATGCTGTCATTGTCCCCCCTCAACAGTGTTTTTTTTCTTCATGTTCTGTCTAATTCATGTCTTTCTTGATTGTGCATCTTGGTCTATATATGTGCCATGATGCATGACAAAAGACTTCGTTAGGACCGACAATGTATCCTGATGGACTTAACCTTAGTTTATACATAATAATATCACTGGAGAAATAAAGACAATTTTAACTTAAGCTTCTTACCTGTAGCGGTCCACGGCAGTTGTTCTGTTTCCTTGTATCCAGACCTTGAGTAAATATTCATAAAAGCTGAAACAACATCTTTTACTATAATGTACAAAACAAACAAAGTAAACTAAATTCCAGTGAACAGAGGGATATGGTGACACCAGTCCATTCTCAGTTCACATTATCAGATAAACCATTTGGAAATAAGATAATGAAAGACCATTCACCTGTCACCCATGGCCCCAAACGTTATAGTGGAGTACACAACCGCCTTTCCCTCTGGATTAATGTGTATTGGGAGCAACCCATCATCTGGGAAAGTTCTACTAATTTCTAAGATGACATTCTCCGCCTGGAATAGAACGTTATGCCATTTGGTCACTAGCAGAACATTGATTCGAGTCTGTGTAGCTTAATCAATTTCTGTCATGCCCATTTGATATTGTAGTTTAATTTAGTAGCTATCAAGATGTTATATATTGAAAACTATCGGGGAATACCTTTTGTTGATACTTCGGGTCTCCTGTTCTTTGTGAAAGAGCAATAAATTCAAGCTGCTCAGAGGCAGAATCTGCCAGGATACTATGGCCCTGAGAACAGGGAGAACAATAGTTTCAGCAAATGTACACTGTGTGTGTGTCTGTGTGTTAGTGCACTGGAAATTATATAGTACATGCCATGAACCTGAAATATTCAGATTTCAAAACGATAGTCATTGGTACGCAAAGAGGACTCTGTATTGCAAGGAATGGAAGGTGCTTCGAGGACAGATGTACTCCATGCAGAAGATTAAGGAGAATTGTACTGCAAACTTACATTTTTGGTGTAAAGAAGGAAATATAGACGATGTAATTCAGTTGGTAGGTTTCCTAGGATCTTTGTAATTAGTTTGAGTTTCCGAGGCTCATTGTTGATAACTTTTTGGAGGTGGCCACAGCATAGCCCTTAATGCTGAGGAATAAGAATTACCAATTTTCAGAAAAAGAGGATTCTGTCCTAGTGCTTAAAATGAAAAAAAATTAGTAAAGAAATGTTTTCTCCCATTGGATACACAACTCCCTCAAGGTTATATTTTAAGACCCTTTAAGTATATTTTAAGAATATTAGAGCATTTCTCAAGGTTATGCACGATTCTTAGTTCATGTAGTTCCCCTTTTGAATACTCTTCCCCAAAACTGGAATTTCCTCCATGCCCTTGATGGAAGATGGGTGCAGGGCAAAGCATCAAATGACTTGTCAAATAAAATTTAGAATAACACCAGCATGAGATACTTGAGCTATACTGCAGGGAAAATCAACTTGAATTTAGTAAAGTTCGGGTTTACCGCAGTCCACCCATGATTATGTGGATTCCCATGCGACAAGTTGATAATGTTGTAAGGGATGCCAGTGGGTGTATTCCATGCAGGCAACAGTCTGTCAGCAATATCTTGAGCCTTTTCTAGGAAAAGCCTATCACCAGAGAGGTCATACGCACTAAGAAGTCCACCAACAACTCTATTGTTAAATTACAGAGAATTAATCAGTAAAGAACACGGAAACAAATCATCAAAGCCGATAGGAGGTGTCAGAAATCTAAGTAAATGCATTACAAAGGCATCTTAAACCTTATAAAGCAACCTTATGGTTGTCTCAAAAACACTGGCATCATAATTCTTGTTGAAATCCAGGGAGTTTGCAACCCACCTGCCATCAGAGTTCCTTGTTAGCCACAAGCATAAACTCTTACTTGAAGCTCAAAAATATGGAAATTCATAAATGTCTTCCACTTGGCGCTATTGTAAAAGTAAAAGGGATATGTAACTGGTAGTCCAATGATTTTGGGAAGAAAAGATGCCACAAAAAAAAAATCCATAGTCCAACGGAACACAGAACTCTAAGAAGTCTGGGGGGGGGGGGGGGAGATTTGGATACCTGCATACTTTTATCATAGAGATGACGAGTATAAAAGATATTACTAACTCATGATGCATTTTAGATTTATCGCATACATCATTACTTGATTCTAGTGATAGCGCTCATATTTCAATAAGATTTTAACAATTCATTCTCTTCTTGAGAACAAAATTGAGATCACGAGTAAGAGGAATTTTAGTAGCTTAGTAGGTTGGCTACCTGAATTTTCACCTTGTTGGTGAAATTCAGTTCCCCACCTTGTAATCCCCCTCCCCCACAACTTTTTTTCTTTTCTTTTTTTTTAAAAGAAGAAAAGAAAAAATATGAATAATATTTGTCAAACCATGGTTATTGTGTGCAGAGAAGGATCGCCGCCAAATAAGATAAAGTAGAAAATGGGACGTACACATACACAAAGCTGGTATTAACATAAACAAAGCTTCAATCTAGGATAAGAAAGATAAACTCAAAGAAAAATAAACTCACTCTCTAGCTCTCTGAAACTGCTCATCCAAGCCCATGATATATAGTGTGTCAAGAGAATCGATTAATGTTGCACCAAGACCACCAAAACTGTCAACGCCATTCTTTGTTTGTGGCTGGCATTGCAAAAGTTTAGCACGAAAATCAAATAGTTGCGGGCACATGTCAAACAGAGGATATGATATATAAAAGTACCACAAGCACATAGCAGAAGAAGATTGAAAAGTATCAAGGGAAATTTATCAGCCTCTTAGATTTAAAATTTAAATATATACCACCAAAGGATGTGGTGCAGGGGACGGGGATGCTCCTCCCTTAACCAAAGGTCTCGGTTTCAAGCCCTGGCTTTGGAAAAATTTTTGGTAGGGAATGCTACCCTTGAATGGAGCCCTACCTGGCACAAATCCGGATTAGTCGGGCTCCAATGCGATTACTGGACACCGGAATGGGAAACCAAAAAAAAATTGAAATATAAGTAAAAATTGAACCGTCTCCCAAATTTTCACTTCCTTTCTTGCAGTCATAAAATAAGATATCACCATTAAAGGTCAATGAGAATTAATTCCACACAGATCCTCTGTCTCTTCATAAATTTGACCGCCTAAATCTGCCTGTAAGTGTACTTCAGGAAAATTTTGAAAAGCTAACAGGGTGAACTTTTTCATAAATCAAATGATCAGTCAAATATAGACAAAGAAAAGGGAAGTAGAGAGCCGAACAAAATCAAAGATGAAGCTAGCAATTCCATCAAGAATAAGATTTGTTCAACGTAAAGTTATTATCACTCAGAAGCCGAGCCCTAAATACTCTAATCAGAAACAAAATTCCCCAAGATTTTACCTCACAGTGCCCTTTTAAGAAGAACAAGAAATATCTTGTGCAAAAAATACTTATTCCAGTGATTAATTACTTTCTCCAAAAATGATTGTTTAATATTTCACAGAGATGTTAAATGCAGACGATTGAAGTTTCACTTTTGATTGCACTAAATGTTCCCTCAAATCTTTGACATAAAAAGAGCTTACAAGATAAGATCTTAGTGTTATCTTCATTACCAGGATACTCAAAATTCTTGATGAACTTCGCGAGGATCTAACTGTATGAATAATCTTCCCACATAAAGAAAACTCCTAGTGTTAACCGTACTTTGACATAAAAGGATTCTTGAGACAAGAAACAACATTAGATTCTTTTGTCATGTTTACTCAAAGAGTGGACATAACAGTAAATGAGTTATTACACAATAAAAAGCAGATCATAGAATTCTCCATTAGATCAATCGCTAAAAGACAAACTTGAAGTAAAGAAAAGACAAAACTTTTCTAGCTAAAGAGGCAGTTACTTTGGAATGACCAAAATTACACCATTCATGTCAAGAGAAAGTATTTGGAGAAAAACTGTAAAGTAGGAGTCAATTAATTGAGTCTTCACTTTTTACATATATTAAATTTGAGGTAACTCCTTTTTGGACGCATTTTAGAAATCCTCGAATACAAAACCTTTTTTTAACCAGTAATATTGCAACTCGAGTATAAGATATTGTTCATATTAGAGACTTCACTTTTTACATATTTAAAATTTGAGGTAACTCCTTTTTGGACGCATTTTAGAAACCCTTGAAGACAAATAACTTTTATCAGTAATATTGATTAAAAGATATTATTTAGTATAAATGAAAGAACTAACTTAAATAAGATAGAAATATAGGTAGGTGTAGCTTATTCCTCAACTTTCAGATAAATAACACCTAAAATATACACCAAAAATGTCTAGATCAAAAGAGCGTACACCAAAAACAATGGAACTATATTTCTGGACCTAAACTGTTCTATAATTGGAATGAAGCAAAAAACAAAAAAAAAGGTTGATTCAACATCTTCTGACAAAATATTGAAGGAAGAGAAAAATATGAAGACTCGCAGTTTAAATGGTCAGCATAAAGGTACAGCATAGATATTGTTCACCATCACTCGGAACTTTAAATAGTAGATAAAGGAAATAGAAGAACATCAAACCCCATGCAACCATGTAAACCCCCTACAGAGATACCTCTGCCAAAGATATGACTGTTAAATGACTAAATACAATGGAATAAAGGTAATCTGTGTACAAAGAAACTTATTCGAAGCGGCAACTGACCTGAAGTTCATCGTGGCCCCATGCATATTTTTCATATGAACTCCAGGCATGGCGCATAGCATCTTTCACTTTTTCTCTTCGCTGAGCATCAACGGGATCCTCTGTGTAATCTATTTTCTTCCCCACATCACCATCACTGTGACTAAAATTCATCGTTTCACCTGATACACTTTGATCATTCTTCAAATCCTCCAGCTACAATGCCACAAAGACCATAAATGGAAAAAAAACCAGCAATTAAACCATGATGAAGGAAACAGAGCTAAATATTAAACCCTGTGAGTTTTGAAAGCAATAACAACAAACAAAAGAAAATAAGACGACTTTGCCAAAACAAGTGATGTTCATATATGTTCTCTTCTCCTAAAAAGACCTACCAAGTCCTAAATACAACATTGGTGCCAGCAGTGTAAAACTGCCAGAACGCAGACGGACCTCCCATTTTTTACTTCCGCACGCCCTCCACCACATCCACCATCACAGTTGCCAAACCTATTGCCCACACTACCACCATCTTCTTCTTTTTCAATGAGGCAACATGATTACACACACCATCTCTATCTTCATTCTTTCCGTCCCCAACTACCTCTCTCCCAATGAGTTCCTTCCTGTTGGACACTAATATGCATGAGTAGTTTTCATACAAGATAAAAAGAGTTGAACCTAATAGCAAGAATTGATGACTAAATCAGGATTTCCATTCTAAATAGTAATGTTTTCATTCAGTTGGAAGGAGGAGAAATCGCTGTGTATCACCAAAATCATAAGAAGCTAAAGCATAAAGAATTCCCCACAAGCCAAAATTTATAGAAGAGTTGAAAATTAATCATACCAGTACAGACTTTGAAAAGAAGTGCTGAAACTGCTTACCAGATCTTGCAACCGTATCACTTCTTCACTCAACTTAGAGATCTCTTCCTGCGAAATCACATGTTCATTGAAAAATTGCAAGACAAACTGAACTTAAAACTTCAAAATGTCCTAATCATAACTGCTTCAAGAACCACTAGCTTGCTTATGAAGTATATATACCAACAAACTTCTACGCCACAAAAAGATCCCAGGACAGAGTAGAAAAAAATTCTATAAAAATTGAAGGGTATTAAGAATCAAACATTATTAGAACTTTGCTACTACTAGCTAAAAAACCAAACTTCCACAGGCTGCCGACACCAATACACAGAAAGCATTAGAGTATTACCTTTTACTTAGTTTCTTTTGAAAACTAATTGATGATCACATGTAAGACGGAAGAAATCAATTACATTTCTTTTTATAAACAGGAAATTCCCCGGGAGCCATTGAAGCACAGTTCGAAACTAGGAGATTTTATAGCCCCTCTATTCTTATCCACTGAAATACCATGCTTTTATCTGTGATATGGTTCGAATCCGTGACAAGCACCTAACCCACACATCACACATTGCATCTTACCCCTAAACCAAAGTTCTGGGTTGATATCAATTTTTTGAAGGAGCAAAGGGGGAGAAAGAGAAAGTAATCCCACATGCAGGCTCTCACTTAGAAACTTAAACCAATCACCAGAAAACCAGTCAATATCTGCTTTCCTAAGGAATTTAAAGAACGCCACACTTCCTATCATGGAAACCAACAATTGAACCTCCCCCACTTCATTAAATGAAGCAGCAAATATACTAAACTATCTAACCTTACTTGGGTAAAGTAATAAACCATGGATGAGATCGTACCAGCATTGATGAACTAGATCCCATCAGAATTATTAAGTTAAAAGTGCTTTTGGATGAGTCTAGTACTAGGGTAGTGACCCTTGGAAGTCCTCTTGTTGCATCTCTATTTTAAACATGGGCCTGGTTTAGTAGAATTCCAAGTTCTGGCCTTACAGACCAGCACAACTTTGGAATTAAGATATTGCTCTTTGTTGCTAAACGATCTAACCTTATCAAGGGAGTCATTTCCACCTTAACCCGACTTATGTTTCAATTATCAAAAAAGTATAGACCTGCAGCAACTAGAAGATCTCTAAAATGAATGCTAGATATCTTAATAGTTGAAATAATTAAAAAACAAATCTCACTGAGAATTCTTTAATCCTCATGCTTAGTGTTGGGAATAACGATCAACAATTTGATTTAAGAAGGGTCTTGGTATTCGTAAGGTCTACTTCAATTCATTACAGATAATAACTCCAGTAAGAAGTTGAACTACCTTGAATCTTCCAGTGAAGAGACTATCAAATTAATGAGGACTGGTACTAACACAGATAGTCAGATACAACACACACTAAGGTACCTCAGATTTGGAGTGGGTGGGCACTCAAATACTCAATTCTATCATCCTCAATCACGTAAATTCTCCAATGAAACATAGACATTCTTATTGTGGTAATAAAGCAAGACTTGTTCAAAATTAAAATGAGAACTATCAAACTAGAGAATCAATTAACAAGCCATAAAAAAATGGGCAACAAACGAATAAAATAACGATGAGGCAAATCTTAGCAGCTCAGTCGATTGGCTAGCTGAACTTATTCCCCACCTTAGCTATTTCCCCTTCCCCACCCCTCAATCAAAAAAAAGAAAGTAACAATTAAGTATGTTAACAGAGAAAAGCGCACCTGGTGATCTCGGACTAAAGTTTGTCGATCCCAAAAGAAGAAAGAACCGAATACGAAAACTATGAAAAGCAAAGCAAGACGCTTGGGGCGTTTCAAATAGTAAGATGGATTGATGTACTTCCACTTATTCGCTGACGATCTACTCCTCACCATTTTCTTCTGCTTTATCAAAGAGATTCAAAAATTGATCACGATCGAGATTGGTGAATCAGAGAGAAATCCATTGAGAATAAAGGGATAATGAAAAAAAAATGGCAAGTAGTTAAAAAACGAAGACCAATAGCCGTTAGGGAATAGGGGCGTAGGAACTAAATGGAGTGTACGAATTCCTCTTCCTTTTTTTGTTTCTTTAGTTGGTGCCAAATTGGCATGTAGCCAAACATTTTTATTTATTTTCATGTCCGTAACCGTGTATTCGAATCAGTTTTTTAGTTAACTTTTCATGTCCGCGTGACCGAATCAATTTTTGCACTCCTTAACTGATTTTGTGAAATACTAATACTCAGTCCCTCCTGCAATAGATGGAGCATGTAGCCAAACATACCTGCATGCAGAAATGGATTTAAAATGTCTAAGTGAAATAAATCAAAATGTTCTCAATTGGCCCAATGATATCCTCTCATTAGTTTAAAGAGTCAAAAATATCCTTCCTTCCTATAAATATAAATTTATTATCCTATAATTACTTTAAAGTCAAAAATATCCTTCAATCAATTTATAGATACTCCCTAGAAAACAACTAAAATAAATCAATTTATAGATACGCCCTAAAAAAACAACTAAAATCAGTCAATTTATAGATATTCTCTAGAAAACAACTAAAATTAACTAAATTTCACAGAAAAACCATTTAAGCAAGCCAAAAATCAAAATACTACCGTGGTCGCCTCAAATTACATGTTTTCTTCTTTTTATCATAATTTTCAAGCAGCTTTTGAAAGCAAACTTCACCTTAATATGATTTTGAATTTGTAAAATTGTCCATAAAAATAGAGTATGAGATAAGAAAAGATAGATCCAATCTGTTTACAATCACTTAAATCTTAAATTGTTCACCTTAAATGTTTACAATCACTCAAAACCTTAAATGACAGAGAAATAAAATAGAAGAACACCAATCAACAAGTAAAGCATCTAAGCGCCCTACTAAGATGGCTTCCACCAAAGATATGACTGTTATATAACAAAATACAATGGAACAAAAGGTAATGCTTTTACAAAGAGAACTTATTAGAAGCAACAACCCAGCCTGAAATTCATCTGTCACTCCGTGCATAGCATCTTCCAATTTTTCTCCTTACTGAGCATCAACGGTATCATCTAAAATATCCATTTTCTTCACCACTTGCAACTACGTCTTTTCACCTGATACACTATTGACCATTCTTCAACTCTTCCAGCTACAATGCCAACAAGACCATTAACGGAAAAAAAACAGCAATTTAATCATGATAAAGAAAACGGGAACAGTAGAAAACGAGACTACTTCCCCAAAACAAGTAATGTACGTTACATGCCCTTTTCCGAAAAAAGACCTAAAAATAACATTGATCGCAGCAGCCTAAACCTGCCAGAACACAGACTGGACCGCCCATCTACTCCTTCCACCGTTGCCAAACCTATTGCCCCACCAATACTATCTTCTTTTCATTTATTTCGGAAGCATATCTTCATTTTTTCTGTCCACAAAGGCCCAACTACCTCATCCCCAATGAGTTCCTTCCTTTTGGACCCTAACACGCACAAGTACTTGTCATACAAGATTTTTGAACAAAGAATTGAACCTAACTGCAAGAAATTGAAAATCGATCATGATCAAGCTCAAGATTGGTGAGTGATACAAAGGGGAAGAACTCCATTTGGAAAATGGAATAAAGGGATAACGAAATTAAATAAGTAGTTGAGATCAAAATCAATTGTTTAAGCAATTGGATATTTTCAAAGAATACTTTACTCCTCGGGGAGTACTCTGAAACCCTGCACCTTTTTTTCCCACCAAAGATATTGAGAGCGCACAAAAAGATCAATGACTAAAGTGGCACTCTATCCTCCCTAGACCCCACTTGTGGGATTAGTGATTACACATGAACTATTGTTTTGTAATCTAACTAGTGCTTATGAAGCCCAGACTTTTTGAACCAGAAATAGCTTCAAAAACCTCAAGAAAAATTATGTAGAACTAAGAAGTGCAAGTGTTCAACAGATATATCAGGCAATAGCAAAACATACAAGCGCTTTCATGAGCTTCCAGAGCATGCAAGGTCTTGATTTCTACATATTTGCGTGAGAAAGGTGAAGAAAACAGCATAAATAGGAAGATCACAGTAGAGAAACAGGACAAAGGGAGGACGCAATGCAACCTTCTTGTTTTTCAGCTCAGGAAAAACAGCAAATAACTAGGCAGGGCAAAACTACAGGTGCTTTTGCAACCTGTACTCGTGACTATTTATTATTTGTTATATTATATTGATGCTGACATAGCATGACAACTGAAGATGATAAAAGCAGAGCAGAATCTAATTTCTATTATAATAAACAGATTGTACAAGAATGAAAGAAGTAACTTACATTACATCGAAGAGGAAGAGGAACTTGACCAGCTCTCAAGTAGCCAGGGGTAAAAGCTTACATTGGTGCTGTCTTGTAGAACAAATGAAACAGTCAAGTTTTACACAGAGATCCCCCAATTCATTTGGCAATCAAAGAACTCTCAATATGGCCTGAGCATTCGGTTCTTCACAGGTGCATACCGAACTGAAATTACCTCGGTTTGGTTCCATCTTTTCTAATTTGGTTCGGTTCTTTGGTATGGGCCTAATATCATATGCATCAAGGCAGCAGCTGTTTTTCTATCACATGGGTTGCAATTTTGCATGATCGACGCGGACATGTATCAGCAGGAGCAACTAAGACTAGAGGCTAAGCAAATAATTCAGCAGCAACAGCCAAAGACCTTATGCCTATACACTGCACCAAGACAAAATTGTATGATCTCTTAGTTCATTTTCATTTACACCAGCAGCTTAGCTAATACAAGTATTAGCAATGAGTACATCAGCAGCTAAGCTAAGGTAAAACAAGTAATTCAAGCAGCTAAGGCCTACGCTATGGAAAATAGCCTCTTTTTCAACTAAGTTAATTCCAGGCAGTAGCAACACAAACTTGTGAAAAGTAGGCAGAAGCAAACACCAGCAGCTAATGTTTCTCTCAGTTCAAATATCAAACAAAAATTGAGACCAGGCCGAAGAACTAAATTATTATGTTCAGTCCAGTTTTTCGGTATTCCAATATTTATGCCCACTGCTGAATAAAGAAATCAAGAGCCTGAAGATTTACAATACAAAAAAAAACAATTTCAGCTGAATAAGCTGATTTTCCAATAATTTAACACCAAATGAGCAAAGGGAATCTGATCAAGAACCACTATAATAGCTGAGCTAAATTTGATTACTTAGTGACACGAGTGTCCTCTGCATCATCAGTAACATCATCATTATTGGCTTCCTTTTGTGCGTTCTCGGTGTCAGTACTGCAATCACCATCAGAGTCCAGGCTTTCTTCTCCCAAATCTTCTCTAACTGTCTCTCGGGCGGCTGAATGATCTCCTCCATTCTCAACGTAGTCAGCCATTTCATCATCGCCTCCCTGTTTTCCATAATTAATCAATCTTCTATCCACTGTGACTTTCCTTGGACTCAGTAAAACCAATTCAGCCAGCCTTCTCCTAGCTAAATATAACTCATTAGGCTCAATCAACTCTCCCTTCCTATAAGCCTCCCTGAGAAACACCGTATGCAATTTCCCTTGATTTCCCCTTGTCGAAATATAAAATATCCCTTGATGTTGAAGAAGAAAGTCTTTCAGCTTCTTTGGCAAATCCATAGCCAACCTAAAATGTGCAATTCTCTCCAAAGTAATCTTCTTTTCAACTGTCAACGACAACAATTCATGAATAGTCGCAACTGCTCTCTTTTCCATTCTCTTCTGTGCCTCGAGTGACCTTAAATCATAACCAGAGATATCCTCATATGGCAACCAATAAGGCAACCTTTGCCACTTCCAAACAGCAATCTTATAATACTTCCCAATCTTGAAACCTGGTGGGAAATTCACTCTAAATGAAAACCGCACATTCTCTTCTTCGCCACCCTTTTCTCTATACTCTCTCTCCCTAACATTCTCCACAGCACAAACAGTTAATCGCGGGTCTCTTTCAACAACCTCAATATACTTATTCCTAGTCTCTTTAGCATCAAACAATCTAAAATACTTGGGATACTTCAAAACCACAGAAAACTCAAAATCATCAGGTAAACCAAAATCTTTCCTTGCAATCCTAACATGTTCTAACCTTAACCTACCCGTATTCGATAGCAACAGAAGCTTCCGTAAACGGGTTACAGCTAAAGGCAATTGAGCTAAAAGTGCTAGTTTTTCTTGCTCAATTTGAAGCAATGATTTACGAGTAAGCCTACAATATAATATTCTCTGAACTGGGTGTTCGAATACCTCAAAAACATGAGGAAATTTGAGAATAAACTTCCCTGCTTCATATTGTTTGAACCCAAAACGGCGAGCAAGCATATCAAGGCGAGAAATGGCGATCATTGAATTAGGTTGAGTAAGAAGTAGTTCTTGGAATTTCTTTACTTTACGAATTTTCTTCTCCACTTCCATGTAATCATCGTAGCCGTGGTCGCGAATACGCTGTTGGTTCCTGGGTATGGAAGTTGACTGTGACATTTGCTTTGGGGATAGTAAGAAAACTGTAGGAATCCATGTGAGGGACTTGAAGGATGTGGATTTTGACTGTAATAATTTTGTTGAAATCGAAAGGAAAATGTGCATTTTGATTATTATGTGAGTTCTTGAATTTGGGGTTTAGGGTTTTAGGAGGAAGACGCACAGAGGCCACAGTAGTTGAGGAACTTATTGAGTAATTAATTTTACGTTGAGGATGTTATGTTAAGATTTGTGCATTATTTGCCTTGTGTTCGTATGCAAAAAATGGTTTTAATGACAATAACATTAATCATCTTTTACTAAAATGAAAAATGTATCCTACCTTTTGTATATGGGTTCACATGGGTTATTTTTCTCTTGGTGTACGTTCGATTTTTTGGTTTAATTTTGTGTTATTTGGTTGAATTTTTTTATTTTTGATTTTATAAAAGAGTAATTAATTCGATTCAAAATAAATTTGATTTAGTTTGATTTTCTTCTGTTCGGTTTGACTTTTTTCGATTTGATTATTTGGTAAATAATTTAAAATTTTCAATTATTTCTTTAACTCCGAAATGGGTCAAATGGTACCACATAAAATGAAACGAAGAGAGTAATATAAATCATAAGTAAAACTTAAAATACAAAATTATAAGTATACCTATTATAGATGTAATTCAAACATAAACTATAAACATAATCATGAGAGATAATAACTAAAAAGAGACAAAAATGATTAACTTCAACTTAATTCTAACCCTAAACATTATGTTCTATTTATATATAACATAATATATAATTTTTAGTTAAAAGGTATTAGAAGTAAAAAGATAATAACAAGTTACTAAGAGGTAATAGCTCGTTCAGATGGGATAGCTTATTCTAAAATAATTAAATCTCGATTAACTTGTCCTAGAGTAAGATTTTATTTTTTATTTTATTTTTCGACTTAAAATTACTTTGTCCTATCAAAACAGGGTATTATCTCTTAGTAACTTACTTAGTTAATCTCTTACACCCGACAACTGAATATGATTATTTGTGTTTTAATTAAATATTGCAAATTTGAAATTTTTTGTATGATTTTTTTTTAATATAAAATATATTTTAAATGAAAGTCTTATATGGTATAGATATAAATATAATTAAATTTTAACGTAAATATTACACATTAAATAGGAAACAAAAGGAATGAGAAATGATCAATATTTATAGTACATAGTGCTTCATAGATATATTTCATATCTTGATAATTCGCATTGTAATTTCTTAAAATTATCTATTCGGTTATTAGTCACGTAAACTTAAAATTCGCATAATTGGTTTCTAATTATGTAAATTCATATGTTGTATGTGTTTATTTTAACTATTTAGGTACGATTTATTGATTCATTTGATTTATATTTAAGAAAAAATCATAATAAATTACTCTCTTTGTATATTAACAAACGAAATATATAAATAAAGTTTCAAAAAATGCTATTGCAACCAAAATATACGAACGAAGTTATAAAAAATTATTATGGCAAATAAATATACAAATGCAGTTCTAAAAAATTCTTATATGGCAAACACAATATACAAATAAACTTCTAAAAAATTCCTAAATGTATAAATACATAATATTATATATTTACCTTGTTTTTGTATTGATAAGTAAATATACAAACGAAAATATCCATAATAAACAAACAACATTATGAAGCATAATTAAGTAACTATAGTTTATATTTACCTTGTTTGTATATTGACAAACAAATATACAAATGAAAATATTCATAGAAAACAAAACTATATCTATAAAATATAATTAAGTAAACTATATTTATCAAGCATAATTAAATTTATTTCTTTTACAATTTATGAAATTTTCAAATACTATTAAACAAAAGAAATCAAATACCATAATAAATCTAACATCAATATTACTTTTTGTATTAGCTCTCATAAAAAGACCCACTTTGAGTTTATCTATTACCTTCCTTTTATATTATAAGTGACATTTTTTATTTTATAATTATATTAAGAAATAACATAATTTTATTTCTATGTCTTTATTTAATGTTTGTTTATGACAACTTTGTAAATTGAAACAAATGATTTATATGATAGATTTCAAAAAATATAAATGCATTTGGATAATTATTTAATTTACTTTTCGGAGTCATTTTTTTTTTTATCAATTGATCCAAAAAATTTAAAAATTCAAGTTTTCCCTCCGCTATCTTTCTGTATGTTTTGTGTAAAATGTTTTTAAAAAAATATTTTTATATATAAATTCTTTAAGCAAATATGACAACACCACAAAATATTCAAATTCCATTACTTCAAATTGATCTATTTTTACATCTTTTGAACTTTTGAAATGTCATCTTGCTTGATGAAATTGGTTGAAACTTCAACTTTCAAGATTATTTTTTATTCTTTTTTCATTTTTCAAAAATAATTTAAAGAAAGTAGTTAATCAGGAGTAAATGAATTACTCTCCAATGAAATTAATTAGCTGTAGATTTTCAAGGTTAGTCGAAGTAAATATATTTTTAAGATTAATTAATTAATTAATAAAGATATAATGAGCAAAATATGATATTGTATGTATAAACTTTATAAAATAACATATATTATGGTCTAGCTATTTTTATAAAGGGATGATTTATAACATGGAACCGAGGGAGTAGTAAATTTTTTAAGTTTTACACTCGCTCATTTCATTTTCACTTATTTAATATTGTGTTGGCACACCCGTTAAAATAGTTTTTTCCGATTTTAATTGTGATATATATCTTAACTTAATAAGAAGATTAAAAAAAATCTAAATTTGTTACTTTAAATTAAAAAGATATCAAACGTAAAAATAAAATATTTATTAATTTATGGTCTGAATTAGAAAATATATCAATTAGTTATCAATCTTATAATATCAAACAAGTATATGGAAAATTAAATCTAAATTAAAAAAATTACTAATTACTAAAAAGTAATGAAACATTCTTTTTAAATAATTAAAAAAATAAATAGACACTTAAATTAAATAATTATAATTAGTAACAAAAACATATTAGCAATCAAATGAAAAAAAAGAGTCTTTAACTTTTTAAATTAAATAAATAAAAATAAACCGACAAATATTTAGGAATCTAAGTGACGTGAACACGTCGAGGTTGTGAACAAATATTGTTCGATATTTGAACATGCCATCCTCGTGCACCACAACATGATATTGGTGGTCTCCGTTAAGCCGCTTACCAAATACCTCTTAAACATGCGACACGTGGCGCAAATAGTGATCATAATTCGTCTATAAGATTCATCTCTTTTTTTTCATTTGTGGGGCCGGGGAAGAAAAAATAATTATAATATAAGAAATCAAATTTTCATCCACAAAGCGGGAATTTAATAGCCAACTCATTAATCGATTCATTAATATCAATATTGATCAACTTCTCAATATATCAATATCAATACTATTAGTATAATTTTTAATTTCTCTATGTGAGATTTCTGCATTGATTTTATTAATAAATTTAATCGTATTTTTGTTAACTTTTAGCCCTATTTGATTTATCTTAGTAATTTAGTGAAGTTTAGATCTTTGCTTAAGCTTCTAAAAATTTGACTCGTTTTAATTCAAATTTCGCTTCTTTAATGGAATTTTTCTTTGGATTAAAAAAAAAATAGCCAACTTATTAAGTTAATAAGATTCTCTGAAAACTTCATTTCAATTGCATGGTACACTAGTTTATTTGTCTAGTTTTTAAATATGACATTAGATTTTTTTAAAAAAAAATCACAACCTTAAATTAAATATATGTAAAAATATAATTTAATTTTGCGATATATAAAATGTAATATATCAATTAAATTTGAATTGTGCATCATAATATTCAATCAAAAACGATGTTTTTACTAAAAAAAATTTATATTTAAGACTAAAACCCAAAATATTTACTTTCCGATTTACGAAGAATGACTTAGCTTGAATTAACACGAAATTTAAGAAAATAAAAAATATTTTTAAATTTTATAATCCAAATTTTTAATCTTATAAATTTAATCATGCCGCTTGAAAAGCTATAATTAAAATATTAACATAAAAAAATCATTTTTTAAAATAAATTAAAAAAATTAAATTATATTTAAACAAAAACAATACTAATTAATAATAAAACCACCTCATCATATACAAATACTATGACCTAAGCACTCCATTCAGTAATTGTGTGGTCCGCTTCGATTTCCTCGAATCAAGCGCCTATTCGACTTTTAGTAGTTTCGCCACGTCACTATCGACAACACAAGCTTTAAACGTCAAGAACTGCTCTGAGCTGGCTTTGATTGACAAATATACCCTCACTAAATATAAGTAGGCTTTTGTTAGTTTTTTTTTTATATTTATTTGAAAACTCTTTTGAAATGTATGAAGATTAATTTGAAGAACATGTGTTAGCTTTTGTTCAAATTCAGGTTTCAGAAGTTGGTTTTGGAAAAATTTATAATTAAATATTATTTTTAAAATAAAAAAATAAATTATTCAAATAAAAGTGAGTTATTCTAATGGTCAAATATTGTCTCAATGCGAAATTTAAAAAAGTATTAAAAGAAATTTTAAATTTGTGGTCTTAAATTAGTACTCCATTAGTTGATCTTTGACCAACTTTTAGGTGAAAATTAATATTTTTTCCGTTTCAAAAAATAATGATCCAGTGTGATTTGAAACATAGTTTAAAAAATGAAAGAAGATTTTTTAATCTTATAGTTCTAAATTATAGTTATGTCAAATTTATAAACAAAGGGAATATTTTTATGGACAAGAAGAAATTGTATTCGAAAAGCTAATAAATGTTTTTCCCTAAAATACACAAGAATCCACAATTTTTCAAACACTACTGATACCTAAAAATATTCTAAAATTTATTAATCATAACACAAATTATTGTATCACGAAAAAACACTTTTAAAAATAATCAAATTTTTAAAATTTGACCAAATATCTTATTAAAACAATAAATCCAAAAAATATTGAAAGATAAATTTTTAAAAAGAAAAAATTAATTTAGGATCCAATGCAAATATCAAACACAAATAATTATAAAAAAAAAATGAAGTCGCAGGAGGCATAGTGGTACTTGGAAAAATCAAAGAAGATGATGATGTGTTCAAATGAGCAACTCTGATGATGACATTATGTAAGTTTGAACGTGTCAAATTTATTGACGTTGATACGTATCTAGTAACAAATACTCAGATATTTTTATTTTTTTTGGGCTA